CAGCTGAGGTGCTTGCTGAGGGCAAAGAGAATACAGAATGAGTAGTAGAAGGTAGTCCTAAATACCAGTTACGACCACATGACCAGCTGCAAAAACGAGGACTGTAATTGTTATATTTCTTCCTTGTATGTGTGCGTCGTATATTTTTGTTTTCTTCACTTATATAAGATGTAAACAGGGCTAGTGTGTTTTTGGTTGAATGTGTGTTAGCTGTATCATGTTAGGTGCAACTATGACTTTATGATTGTCTATTTAAAGATCATGTATGGTTTAAGGAGATGTGTAAAGATGCCAAGTTGACAAGGGGTGGACTGTGATCATTAAGGTTGTGTGTCAACTTGGCTGGGTTATGATTCTCAGTGGTTTGACAGTAATGATGCAGTTTGGCAGTGGTGTAATGATGTAATCATCTCCATGATGAAATCTGATATATTGTTTTCACCTATGTGATGGGATCTGCTGTGAGTAGCCAATCAGTTGAAAGGGATTTTCCTTGGGTGTGTGGCCTGCATCCAATGTAGGTGGACTTTCTCACAAGACTTGTGGGCTTTTGCTCACTCTGGATCCTGTGAGTGGCTCCTGTTCGTCTGATGTCCTGTTCTTGGGACTTGAACTAGCAGCTTACCTGCTGCCTTGCCTGCTGATCTTGGGATTCGTCAGTCTCTGCAGCCTGTGAGCCAGAGCCTTCCTGTCCTACCTGCCGATCTTGGATTCACCAACCCCTGCAGCTACATGAGTCAGGAGATGCCTCCAGTCTAACCTAAGGACTTAGGACTTTCCAGCCTCTACAACTTCGTGAGCCATTTCCTTGATATAAATCTCACTGTATATATATTTTGCTAACCAAAAGGTCGGCAGTTTGAATCCGCCAGGTGCTCCTTGAAAACTCTTCTGGGGCAGTTCACTGTGTTCTATAGGGTGGCTATGAGTCAGAATCAACTCAACGGCAATGGGTTTGGTTTTGGTATATATATATTTGGAGCCCTGGTGGTGCAGTGGTGTCCTCGTCTGCTAACCAAAAGATCAGCAGTTTGAATCCACCAACCACTCCTTGGAAACCCTATGGGGCAGTTCTGCTCTGTCCTCTAGTGTCGCTATTGGTTGGAATTGATTCTACGGCAACAAGTTTGGTTTTTTGATATTTATATGCTTTGCTGGTTTTGCTTCTCTAGAGAACCCAGCCTAAGACACCTACCTTCACTCCTAATTCCAGACCTTATTTCCAAATGCCCATTGGATTGTCCCATAAAACCAAAAAACCTAACCAATTACCATCGAGTTGATTATGTGTCAGAGTAGAACAGTGCTCCATAGGGTTTTCAATGGTTGCTTTTTCTGACGTAGAAAAGGCCTTTCTTCTGACGTCCCTCTGGTTGGACTCAAACCGCCCATCTTTTGTTTAGCAGCTGAGCATGTTAACCATTTGCAACACCCAGTGTCTCTGAACTGTCCCATAGACCCCTCAAGCTCAACATGTTTAAACCTTAAAGCACTACCTTCCCTCCAAATCATAGTTTTTCCTGTATTTCCCAGCTTGATTAGTGCTATCATTCATGTCTCTCTCATCTCCATTCTTATCTTTCCTAGCCCCCATTTCCTCAGTATCTTTAGTGTTTGCTCTCTCCTTGCAGTCCCACTTACATAAGTCTATCAGTCATCATTTCTTGAAGTTCTGTTGTTACAGCTTCTTACATAGTCTTCTGTCTCCTATTCTCTTCCTTCTCCTATATGCTGCTTCAAGTGTTACCTTCCTAAAAATAAAATCTGTTACTACTATCTCCTCTTCAGAAACCTCTGACAGCTCCCCATTGCTTACAGAATAGAGAACAAAATTCATAGTATGATGTTGTATGCCCTCCATTATCTGCTGCCAATCTATCTCCTCAAATACTTCGCCCACATTAGCACTCCAGCACTCCACACAGTGTGTAGTTTAGCCACACTATTCTACTCACCTTCCTCTAACTTGCTAAGTGCTCTCTGTGGCTTCTGTGGCTATGTGTTGCTCTTCCTTCTATTCTCCGTTTGGAAAATCCCTTCATCCTGAAATTTAATTGAAATATTTCCTCCTTAATGAAGGTTTTCTGAATTCACCAAGTCTGAATTAATTGTTCTTTACTCTTTCTTCTCTGTTCCCACAACGCCAGTCACCCTTCCTGGTATTATGATTGATTATTCAAATATCTGTGTCCATAGTGTTTTTTTTTAAGGAGATTGTACCTGCTTTTTTTGTGTGTGTGTGTTTTAGGTGAAAGTTTACAGCGCAAAATAGTTTCTTACTCAAAAATTTATACACGAAATGTTTTGTGACATTGGTTGCAATCCCTGCAATGTGTCAGCACTCTCCCCTCTTCACATTCCACCCTGGGTTCTCCATGTCCATTCATCCAGTTTTCCTGCCCCTTCCAGCCTTCTTGTCTTTGCTCTTGGGCAGGTGTTGCCCATTTGGTCTCATATACTTGATTGAACTAAGAAGCATGTTCCTCATGTGTGTTATTATTTGTTTTATAAGCCTGTCTAATCTTTGGCTGAAAGGTGGACTTCCAGAGTGGCTTCAGTTCTGAGTTAGCAGTGTGTCTGGAGGCCATAGTCATGGGGGTTTCTCCAGCCTCTGTCAGACCAGTAAGTCTGGTCTTTTGTGTGTGTGTGAATTTGAATTTTGTGCTACATTTTTCTCCCACTCTGTCTGGGACCCTCTATTGTGATCCCTGTCAGAGCAGTCAGTGGTGGTAGCCAGGCCCCATCTAGTTCTTCTGGACTCAGGCTGGTGGAGGCTGTGGTTCATGTGATCCATTAGTCCTTTGGACTAGTATTTTACTTGTGTCTTTGGTTTTCTTTATTCTTTATTTTATTCTTTATTTGGTCCAAACCTGATGGGACCAATAGCTGTATCATATATGGCTGCTCACAAGCAGCCTCTGTCTCCTATATATCAATATATAATAAAACTCTTGCTGCTTACCTCACCCCTGTCTCAGAATTGGCTACTGCGGCAGGTGGATCCAATCCACATTATTGCGGTAACAATACCACCAAGAAAGCAGTGCTGGGAGCAGAGCTTGTCCTTCGGACCCAGAGTCCCTGCGCAAAGAAGCTCTTAGTCCAGGGGAATATTGATGAGAAGGCTGAAAGAGAGAGAAAGACTTCCCATGGAGCTGATGCCCTGAATTTGGACTTTCAGCCTACTAGACTGTGAGAAAATAAATTTCTCTTTGTTAAAGCCATCCACTTGTGGTATTTCTGTTATAGCAGCACTAGAAAACCAAGACAGATGGTACCTCATTGTAGTTTTGGTTTTCATTTGTCTAATGGCTAATGATTGCGAGCATTTCCTAGTGTATCTGTAAGCCACCTGAATGTCTTCTTTAGTGAAGTGTCTGTTCGTATCATTTGCCCATTTTTTACTTGGATTATTTGTCTTTTTGTGATTGAGTGTTGAAGTATTCTATAGATTTTAGAGATTAGGCCCTTGTCAGATATGTTGTAGCCAAAAATTTGTTCCCAGGCTGTAGGTTCTTTTTTCACTCTTTTGGTGAAGTCTTTTCATGAGCATAAGTGTTTGATTTTTAGGTGCTCCCAGTTATCTAGTTTATCTTTTGGTGTTTGTGCATTGTTAGCTATGGTTTGTATTGTATTTATGCCATATATTAAGGCCTCTAATGTTGTCTCTTTTTTTTTCCACGATCTTTATTGTTTTAGGTTTTACCGTTAGGTCTTTGATCCATTTTGAATTAATTTTTGCGTATGGCGTGAGGTATAGGTCCTGTTTCATTTTTTTGCAGATGGATATCCAGTTTTGCCAGCACCATTTGTTAAAAAGACCGTCTTTTCCCCATTTAATGGACTTTGGTCCTTGTCTCCATAGATTTTTAAACTCCTCGAGGATTGAGAATATGTCTTATTCATGTTTACAGCCTTCACAGGATACAGTGCATTAAACGCCCTTAATAAATGTGTACTGTATTGATGCGACTCAACAGCAACTGGTTTCTTAGTATTGATATAAATTCTCCAACACTGTTTGTGCCCACTCACATACCACTTGTTTACTGCCTGGCAGTCTAGCTCTTTGTGGGTATGACTTAATCTCTCCAGGGACTTGGTTGTGTTCACCTTCATATTTCTACATCACCTGTCACAGCGCTTTGTAGCTACCAAGTGTTACACTGGTAGTGAATGACCAAAGGGATAAATATTACAGTTTGAAGTACCAGAAGACAAAATTACTAGCCAAGTTTATTATTCAAACCTCACCATTTTAAATCTCTCTCTCTGATAATTGTTGTTGCTAGTTGTCATCGAGTCAGTTTCAACTCATGGTAAACCCATGTACAAGAGAACAAAATGTTGCCTGGTCTTGCACCATCTTCATGCTCGTTGGTACACTTGAGTCCATTGTTGCAGCCACTGTGTATTTTGAGTGCTTCCAACTAGGGGGCTCATCTTCTAGCACTATATTGGGCAATGTTCTGTTGTGTTCCATAGAGTTTCATTGACTAATTTTCGGAAGTAGCTCACCATGCCTTTCTTCTTAGTCTACCTTAGTCTGGAAGCTCTGCTAAACCTGTCCATCATGGGTAACCCTGCTGGTATTTGAATACTGATATTGTAGCTTCCAGCATCATAGCAACATGCAAGCCACCACAGTACAACAAACTGACAGGTAGGAGGTGGCTCTCAGATAATAGCCATGTCCTAATTAGAGTTCAAAATATTTTTGTATCTGAGTGTGGATGTGTGAACATGCAGACATGTAAATTTTACTAGATATTATAAGATACAACTGATAATTTGACTCTGAATCAAATTTTTGTAAACTGAATGTACTATGGAAGATTTCCAATACTTATTGCCAATCCTTTACGGGGGAAAAAAAGACAAAATATTACTTGAGTAAGTGTAGATTTTCATATATGATATCCATCTTGGAGTTTACTGGAAAATCAAACTTTATGAGATAGGATAATGGCTCTCAACTTTTCTTCCTTATCTCCTTATAGAGAATTTTACTAAGCCAACAGAGGAATTAAATATGCTTGTTCCCAGTAGTGAGGAGGGAAATGAAGAAGTCTGTAACATCGCTGGTGGTGTTAGATTGAAAAACTTGTCACCCCCAGCATCATTAAAAGGTAAAGAAAATTTGACCTGGTATTTATTCTCCAATATCTATATTCCCCTTTTGCTTTCTCTAGGATGATTATCTAACAAAGAAGAAAGAAAGATAGTAAAAGACTCGGATTGGGGGTTTTGCTCTTGTTTTTTTATTGCCCCAGGCAGTAAAAGGGCTCAGAGTGGGCTTCCCTTTTCTACTTCTAATTAGGAGCCACCTTCCCCTGTGCACATTCTGGGGCCTAATTTAAACCAAGGTCTGTTCAACTGCATGAAAGAATGCAGTGTAGTAAAATTTCAATTAAACAAAAACCAAATAATGATGGAGAAAATCTAATACTGAGTTTTTTTCTGCCATCATCTTTTATGAGAAATGACAGACAAGGGAGTTTATGTCAAGGATGTATTATTATTCTTTTAAAGAAAAATGACTTTCAAGCAGTGTCCTAGTATGCATTTAGCTCCAATCCACTGGGCCATCTATAAATAATGTAATGCTTAGAAGGATGACCTAGAGACACCTCAAGATTCTCAGTCTTCAAAAAGTGTCATTTATGTTTTATTCATTGTCTCTACTAAAGCAGGAAAATTGGCTAGACTAGCTTCTACAGCATTCTGTGGGCAAGTTCAAATTTTGTACCTGATGTGTGGGGTAATGGAAGGATATTCTGGTCAAAATGTCCAGGAAGCCACGTGAGCTATGATACTCGGGCTTAGATGAGAAGTCGGGATTGGAGATATAAACTCTCTGACCACTGGTCATGACTATATTGTATGACACATATGACATCAGAATGAACGAATCTTTGGGGGCAAGTAGATAGAAGCCTAACTGCTAAGAGGTTCCAGGAGACAGAGTGGCCAAAGAAAGAAACAGAGAATGACCAGATGGAAATTTATAATAGGACAAGATGGCAGGCTATGCCCCTCCTCACTACTTTGGCCCACAATAATCTCTTCTCTTCTCAAACACCCTTGGCACACTTTAACGCTGAATCGGAACACCTTGACATATATCTAATTTCTGTCTGGTCATTGTACCATGCATATTTTTGGACCATAGCATCTGCCTCTTTTGTACTCCCAGCACAACTGGTATCGGAGAAGCAGGTACTAAACAAATACTTTTATTTTTTAACTTAGCTTGACTGGGTTTCTATGAACAAGAACTGTAGAGCATGACAGTTGCCTGTCTCTAGAAAGTGTTTGATAAAATAGATGACTAGTTCCCTCTTGCATGGTTTTCCACCTGCAGAAATCTCTCTGGTCCAACTGGACAGCATGAGCCTTTCCCACCAAATGTTGGTGAGATGTGCTGCTATTATTGGCCAGACCTTCACTACAGAGTTGTTGTTTGAGATTCTCCCTTGTTGGAACATGAAGATGATGATCAAGGCCCTGGCATCCCTAGTGGAATCCAACATTTTTGATTGTTTCCGGAATGGCAAGGAGCTACGGATGGCTCTGAAACAGCACTCAGCCTCATTTGAGGTGCATTTTCGCTCCCTGTCACTGAAGCCCAGTGAAGGGATGGGTGAGTAGACTGGAAGTGACTCATACTTCCCCTTAGTTAAAGACACATCTAGACAAAAGAATGGATCTATGTTAAGTAGCAGGAACTGATTTGTTACCCACTGTCTGGCTGAAAAACCCTTTCTGTTCTCTCTAGCTCTTGGTGAAGAGGAAGAGCTTCGAGAACTGGAAAGCGAGGTGATTGAATGCCACATCATTCGATTCTGCAAGCCTATGATGCAGAAAACAGCCTATGAGCTATGGCTGAAGGACCAGAAGAAAACCATGCACTTGAAATGTGCCCGCTTTCTAGAAGAAAGTGCTCACAAATGTGACCACTGCAGAAGTGGGGACTTCATTCCTTATCACCACTTCACAGTGGACATTCGACTCAACACTTTGGACGTGGACACCATTAAGAAGATGGCTAAGGCCCATGGAATTAAAAGTAAACTCACTTCTTTTGTAACTAATCCTCTATTGGGAAATCTGGAGAGTAGATCTAGAAGGAGTGGGTCTAGACCATGAGGGTTTCAAGTCCCTTGGGGGGATGGACACAAAGAATGATGAGACTTTGGCAGCGTAGGCCAGTGAGTTGGGGAATGCACATGTAGCTCAGTCTAGCAGAACCAATCTCAGTGTGAGACTGTCAGGGAGGGTTTGGGGATAAGAGACTTTGGCAAAATGGGGTGTGACTAGATCTCCAGTTAAAACACCCAGAATGATAAGACAGACCCCAGCTTAATTCACATCAGGGAGTAGGATACAGGGGGTTGAAGTGGGAGCAAGAACAAGATCCTCCAGGGAGTGGTGTTTCTTGGCAGATAAGAATGTTGTTTTGTTGGTCTGGTTTGAAACAAGTTTCCAGCAGAAAAAGGATATAAGTGGGAGGGAATTAGCCAGGATAAGCAGGTCAGGGGCTCTGAGGATTTGTGTTCAGGTCAGGGATTTAAGACCACTTGAGAAGCAAAAATAAAAAATTATTAACCTATAACACAAACCATCCATGTGACCTGGGAAAACATAGTAGAGGATTCAAATGGTGTAAGGATCCAAGGACACAGTCACTTCCAGGCATGATGGATGTCAGACTTGCAGCAGCCACACTGATTCCAGCCTTGTTCATGGGTGGCCAGGGAGCACATAATGGGCTGCCTCCCCTATTCAGAGAGACTTGCTGGCTAAGCCTGGTTCGGAAAACAGAGGCTGCAAATAGGGGACTCCTATATTACAATATGTTGTTGTTGTTAGCTGCCATCAAGTCGGCCTCCGACTCATGGCAACCCCATGTGTTACAGACTAGAACTGCTCCATAGGGTTTTCTTGGTTGTAATCCTCACAGAAGTAGTTGGCTAAAAATTGGGAAGAAATACATGTAAAGTGCCTAGCACATAGTAGATACAAAAATAAATATTTAGTCTCATCCTTACCCTATTTCTCATTTGATCCTCATATCTACCTTCCAAGGTGAAGGATTATTTTCATTTTATAGATGAGATAATTGAGGTTCTAGAAGATTAAGTAATTTGCCCAAGGTCACAGAACTAGTGACAGACTTTATTCAATCACAGGTCAATCTAATTCCAGAGCTCATGCTCTGCTATTATCCCTGAGCTTCCCACTGCACAGGACTGGGCTTTTAGGTAGTACTGGCAAGGAGCTTGGAAGAGGCTCATAGACACAGCATTAGGTATGAGTGAGAGTAAGAAAGTTAATTCTCTTTCCAATTCTCTCTGAATCCTCATGTCCTTCTTAAAAACTGTTATTTTCTGAGTCTTGATCCATTCCTCTACCTATTTCCTCAGCTACCACTCCTCTTCTTTATTTTCCAGAAATGTGTTAAAATTTCGTCCAATGTATCAGTTACTCATTCAGTAAATATTTATTGAGTTCCTACTCTATGTGCCAGGCCCTGATCTAGGCACTTGAGATGCATCTGTGAACAAAACAGCATTCTATTAGGGAAAAGCAGACAATGAAAACATAATAAAAAATAAATTACATAATATGTTGCAAGTGATGAATCCCATGGAGAAAAACAGAAAAGAAATGTTGGGTAGAGCAAGGGAAATTAAGAGTGCAGAGTCAATAGGGTAGCCCTCACTGAGAGGAGACATTTGTATAAAGATAAAGGAAGTGAGGTATTTTGTCATGTGGATGGCTGGGGAAGAGCATTCCAGGACAGCCAGTGCAATGGCCCTAAGACAGGAATGTGAGCCTCCTATTCTATACAGTGTGGGTTTATGCTTCCGAAAAAAAGTTTTTTTTTAGTGTACTTTAGATGAAGGTTTACAGAGCAAATTAGTTTCTCATTAGACAATTAATACACATATTGTTTTGTGACAATGGTTGCCAACCCCATGACATGTCAACACTCTCCCCTTCTCGACCTTGATTACCCCGTTACTAGCTTTCCTGTCCCCTCTGCCTTCTTATCCTTGCCCCTGAGCTCGTGTGCCCATTTAGTCTCATTTCCAAAAATCATTTTACTCTCATTTTAATGAGGTAAAATATCCTGGACCTGGAGGGGCAAGAGAAAATACAAGAGGTAAGTCTGTCACCTTGAACCTGAAGTCTTATTTCTAGATCTTTGAAACCACAGGGTAAGAAAGTGGTATCTTTGCATGGCTCCTTTCTTCTGAGAGCCTACAAGCACTTTGTATCTTTTTTTTGCTTTTGATTTTTACAGATTCTCTTTGAAGTAGGGAAATCTTGACGTAATCTCTCTCTTGTTAAATGAATTGAGAACTGAAAATATGACTCAGCCAGTGATAAATGATATCATAACAAAAAGCAGGAATAGTATTTTATTTTTACTCATTGATTTTTTTTTCAACAAACATGCATTTATTCAGCAAGTATTTATTGAGCATCTATTTATTGAGCTAGGCAGTCATCTAGGCACTGGGGTATAGTGGTGAAAGGATAGACATGTGTGTATTCTCATAAATTTTTAATTTTAATGGAGACTGACAGACACTATGCAGATAAACCATTAAGGGGCCTTGTAGGCTTTGATAAATAGTTTGAATTTTATTCTGTGGATTGGGACACATTGGAGAGGTATTGATTAGAATTATTATTGGCTGCATATAGCAAAGACCCAGCTGTTGTTGTTGCTGTTAGCTGCCATCAAGTCTGCCCGTGACTCACGGTGACCCCACGTGTTACAGAGTAGAACTGCTCCGTAGGATTTTCTTGGCTATAATCTTTACAGAAGTAGTTTGCCAGGACTTTCTTCTGTGGAGCTGCTGGATGGGTACAAACCACCAACCTTTGGGTTAGCAGACAATTGCAAACCGCTTGTGCCACCCAGACTCAAGACCCAACTAAAATCAAAAAAGAAAAAAACAAAAACAAAAAAACTATTGCCATCAAGTCGATTCCGACTCATAGTGACCCCATAGGACAGAGTAGAACTGCCCCATAGAGTTTCCAAGGAATGGCTGGTGGATTCGAAGTGCCGACCTTTTGGTTAGCAGTCAAGCTTTTTAACCATTGAACCCATGGTGTAAATTTATTTCTCTCATGTGAAATCCTTGTCTCACCATTGGGACTAGTATGTAGGCTTTGATCATCAGGGACCTTTAGTCCAAAACCACTGCTGGAGCTCCAGCCATTATGTTCATATTTCATGCCATAATAAAGAGAAGAAAAGCCAAAAAAATAAAAGGGGTGCCCCCTCCCCCTTACGGAACTTTCTAGAAGTCCCACCCAATACTTCATTTTTTTATCTCATTGACCAGAACTTAGACTTAGTCATATGGACATATGCAGGTGCAAGAGAGGCTGGAAAATGTAGTCTTTTAGCTGGATGCGTGGCTGCCTTGAGTAAAATTGAGCTCTGTTACTAAGGAGAAAAAGGACAATAGAAGTTGCAGGGGGTGGGGGGGAGGACAGCAGTTCCTGCCACAGAGATTTGAATCATGTTTTTAAAAAATTATGTTTATTCTGTCTTCTCTGTGGAGAACAGATTGAAGGAAATAAGAGTAGAAAGGAAATCAGTTTATTACAGTTGTCCAGATAAAATTTGGGTGATGGGCTAGGGTAGCACTATAGTGAAGGTGGACAGAAGTAGATGGATTCAGATATATTTTGGGGTAGAGCCAATGGGACTTTCTGATGGGTTGATAAGGTTAAGGGAAACGAAATAATCAAGGATATTGCCTAGGTTCTTGCCTTGAGAAAATGGATATAGGTAGTAATGCTTATTGAGATAAAGAAGACATGGGTAGGTATAGGTTTATGGAGGTGGAAAGAGTCATGGGTTCTGTTTAGATCATGTTGATTTTGAGATGTCTATTAGGTATCTAAGGATCCCTGAGGAGAAGTGGTTAAGCATTCAGCTGCTAACCAAAAGATTGACGGTTTGAACCCACCAGCTGCTCCGTGGGAGAAAGATGTGGCAGTCTGTTTCCATAAAGATTTACATCCTTGGAAACTCTATGGGGCAGTGCTACTATGTCCTATAGGGTCACTTTGAGTTGGAATTGACTCGACCTTGAACTGAAACAAGCCCCTGAAGTCACCTTTTAGCTAAATAACAGATTGGCTCACAAAATAAACAATATCTCCCATGAGTACTGTGCTCCTTTAAAAAATCATCTATATGAGACCAAATGGTCAATAATTACCGTAAAGCAAAGATGAGAAGGTAAGGGGGGTAGAGAAGTTGGATTACTGGAAATGGAACAACCAGAACTTAAATAATGAGAATGTTCACACATCGTGAAGAAATGTAACCAATGTCACTAAACAATTTGTGTAGAAATTGTTGAATGGAAATCAAAGTGCTGTGTAAACCCTCATTGAAAACACAATAAAATACCATTAAAAAAAAAAAGAAGGTGATAACTAGATGCTCACATTACATCTTTATGTAAGATTCATGGAGTAATGCACTAGCCTTGGAGCCAGAAGACCTGGGTGCTAGTCCTATTGCTGTCATTAACAGATAAATGATCTAAGGCAAGCCCTTCCCCTTTTTAGGATTCTTCCTTCTCCGTGAGTAAATATGTGGCCAGATTAGACAATCCTCATTTGTTCTCTGTCCTGAGATCATTATAGAATTTCCTAACCTATTGAAGCCTGGTTAGATTAGACTATTTATTTATTTATTTTATTGTTGTAGTTTAAATGAAGTTTACATTTCAAGTTAGTCTCCCATACAAAAATTTATACAATACATACATTGTTATGTGACCCTAATTGCTCTCCCCATACTGTGATAGCACATTTCTCCTTTCCACACCTGATTCCCCATGTCCATTCAACCAGCCCCTAACCCTCTCTGCCTTCCCATCTCATCTCCGGACAGAAGCCGCCTGTTTAGTCTCTTGTATCTACTTGAGCTAAGATGCACACTCCTCATGAGTATTGCTTTACATCCCACAGTCCAGTCCAATCCCTGTCTGAAGAGTTGGCCTCAGAAATTGTTTTAGTTCTGGGCTTATAGAGATTCCAGGGGCCATGCTTTCCGGGGTTCCTCCAATTTCAGTCAGACCATTAAGTCTGGTCTTCTTACTAGAATTTGAGTTCTGCACTCCACTTTTCTCCTACTCCGTCAGGGATTCTCTGTTGTGTTCCCTGTCAGGGCCGTCACTGGTGGTAGCCGGGCACCATCTAGTTCTGGTCAGGCTGATGGAGTCTCTGGTTTATGTGGCCCTTTCTGTCTCTTGGGCTACTACTTTCCTTGTGTCTTTGGTGTTCTTCATTCTCCTTTACTCCAGGTGGTTGGGACCAACTGATGCATCTTAGATGGCTGCTTGCAAGCTTTTAAGACCCCAGATGCCACTCACCAAAGTAGGATGCAGAACATTTTCTTAATAAGCTTTGTTATGCCAATTGACCTAGATGTCCCTGGAACCATGGCCCCCAGACCCCTACCCCTGCTACTCTGTCCCTAAAAGTGATTGACTGTATTCAGGAAATGTCTTAGCTTTGGTTTAGTCCAGTTGTGCTGATTTCCTCTGTAGTGTGTGTTGTCCTTCCCTTTACCTAAGATAATTCTTATCTACTGTCTAGTTAGTAAATAACCTTCTCCCTCCCTCCCCACCCTTGTAACCATCAAAGAATGTTTTCTTCTGTGTTTAAACCTTTTCTTGAGTTCTTATAATAGTGATCTTATACAATATTTGTCCTTTTGTGACTGACTAATTTCACTCAGCATAATGCCTTCCAGATTCATCCATGTTGTGAGATGTTTCAGAGATTCATCGTTATCTTTATTGCTGCTTAATATTTCATTGTGTGAATATACCATAATTTGTTTATCCATTCATCCCTTGACGGGCACCTACGTTGTTTCCATCTTTTTGCTATTGTGAACAGTGCTGCAGTGAACATGGGTATGCATATATCTATTCGTGTGATGGCTCTTATTTCTGTAGGATATATTCCAAGGAGTGGGATTGCTGGAACATATGGTACTTCTATTTCCAGCTTTTTAAGGAAGCGCCAAATTGATTTCCAAAGTGCTTGTACCATTTTACATTCCCAGCAACAGTGTATAACTGTTCCAGTCTCTCCACATCCTCTCCAGCATTTATTATATTGTGTTTTTTGGATTAATGCTAGCCTTGTTGGGGTGAGATGATATCTCATTGTTTTGATTTGCATTTCTCTAATGGCTAATGATCATGAGCATTTCTTCACGTGACTGTTAGCTGCCTGAATATCTTCTTTGGTGAAGTGCCTGTTCATATTCTTTGCCCATTTTTTAATTGGGTTATTTGTCTTTTTGTTGTTGAGGTTTTGCAGTATCTTGCAGATTTCTTTTAATGAGCATAAGTTAGACTAACTTACGAAAATTTTAAATTCTATGTTCTCTGCCCTTTAGTTGTATTTCGGGGGTATCTTATTTAAGTATCTGTATTTCCCCACTAGAAACTTATTTCACTTTCTTCAGGATCATTAATTCATAGTTTTAGTTATTGCAGGGTAAATTGTTTAGGGTAATGTTATCAGCTATAACATACCCCAACGTTTCAGTGACTTAACAAAATAGAATGGTAGTTTTTTCCTCCTTATGTAATAATCCAGTCAGGATTTTGACAAATGGCCTTGCACACAGTAAGTCAGGAACCCAGGCTCCTCCAATCTTGTGGCTCTGGTCTTCTCTAGGGCCTCAGAGTCCTTTGTTTTCCTGTGGAAGGAGAGGGTGGAGAAGACACTTAACCATCCCAGCCCAGAGGTGGCATACATCACTTATGATCTAATTCCATTGTGAGAACTAATCATGTGGCTTCACCTGGGATGCAGTGGGGACTGGGAAATATAGTTCCCAGCTGGGGAGCAACAACTCTATACTGTGAAAGGGGAACTGCATGTCCACCACATGCAGCATTTCAGTGCCCCACATAACTCATTTGTTTATTTATTTTCTAGCTGAAGAAGAGATCACCTTTTCCAAATCAGAGATTCCTAAGAAATCTGACATATTTCCTGATGATCTCAGGTACAGGAATATATAATTGTTTAGGAGGTGGAGCAGAAACAATTATCATTAAGTTCAGAATACTGTTAGAATTATTTGTCTGGTCAGTACTTTTGACCTTGATCCCAGGGAAAATGTGGTAGGATTTGTGTGGTGAGTTGGACAGTAGCATCTACATTTTATTATCTTGCTATTTATTAGTTTTTAAAGATAGTTTCATATCAAAAGGTGTACTATACCAAGAAGCTATTATTCCTATTTATGTCTGCATTTGGACAGTTCTGAAGAAATAAGAGAAAAGATCTTGGGTTTCTTTGACATCATTATAACAAAAATGAAGACAACTGAGGAAGACATCATCCCCTTGGAATCTTGCCAGTGTGAGGAGATCTTAGAGATTGTCATCTTGCCTCTGGCCCACCACTTTCTGGCTCTGGGGGAAAACAACAAAGCCTTATACTACTTCCTAGAAATTGCATCTGCTTATCTCATCTTGAATGATAACTATATGGTAAGCTGTCTCTACCCACATCTCCTCCACCCTAGAGACAACTTGTAGACCACAGAGCAAGAAGGGACTTGAAGAAAACTATAGTGTGCTTTTTTATTACTTCATGTTCTTGATTCCTGCCAGCACCCCTTCCCTTTGAAAATCAAATTACCCAGAAAGGGAAATGATCTAGACTGAGAAAAGAGTTGGGACAAATTGCATCTAGCATAATACACAATTTAAAATATTGCCACCTTTAGAAACTTGCCATGACTTGTCTACGTGTATGAGGGGAGGGAGTAAGATCTCTTCTCCAAAATGATGCAAAGGGGATTTTTGGTATTGTTTCAGTTTCAGGATAGAGTCTTTCTTAGTAACGTCCCAGTGGCCTTTTTCCTTTGTCTTCATAAAATACACATGAGCACAAAATATCTGTAATTCTTTAAATGAGTACAAATCTTGTTTTAATCTTGTCATCTGCAAAGAGGCTCTCACCTACTCTGGTCTGCATACAATATGTGTCAGATCATCACATACGCCTTTAGACCACTTTGGGATAATAATTTGTAAATAAGGTTCCAGGGCAATACGCCCCAGCGTGTCCATGGAACACTAGAATTGTGGGGATTTAATACATATAATGAAATAAAAAGAATTCATTTTTAAATAAGTTGAGAAACACTGGGCTGAATAAAGCAAAACTGCAAATATTCCAGGGCCTTCGATATGCTAAAATACATATAAATCTCCCAGAGGGTAGAGAAGGGTTGGGGTCAGGCCAGGGCTGGAACTACTTCTAGTATGGCATACTGTGTTTCTCAAACTTATTTGACCTTAAATCACTTTTCGTGAAGCAGCTGGCTGGACTAGCCTTTCATGAACTCACTTGAGGGAATGCCTTTCTAGACCTTGCTTCATCTGACTCCAGCCAGCTTCAGGTAAAGTCTCACACACCTGAATAGTCATACTGTAGACCTTGTCCACAGTGGTGGTCTGTTCCATATTTTACAGTTGCTGCTGATCTGAGCAGCCTACTCAACCCTTACATTTTAGATTTGTATAAATTTTTAAAATTTAAACTATTAAAAATGCCAGTAAGCACCGTTCTCTCAAATATTCATGTTACGAAGGATGAAAGGCCTCTACATATATGCACATATTTTAAACGTGTGTGTGTGTGTGTGTGTGTGTGTGTGTGTGTGTGTGTGTGTTGATGATGGCCTCTATTTGTGGGAGAGAGTGGCCAGTGAGTCCCAGGAAGAGGTTTCAGGTAGCTCTGGAGGCCAACTTGCTAAAACTTGTGCAGATGCCCATTTAACTCAGCACAAAGAGTGGTGAAAAGTCAGGAAGACAATGATTGGAAGCAGAGCCCAGAGCAAGGTCTCAGAATGTGCTATTTGCACCTGTTCTCCTATCAAAGAAAATCTAGTGGGACTGGGGCTAGATGCCAACTCCTCATGTCTCTCTCCTTCTTACTCCCACATACTTCTTAGGCTGCATGAGATTGGGGATATATCACCTCACCTTATTTGACTCTTCTATTCTGACCTTGCCTTGGGGTTCACATGTGTCAAGACTCACTTGTCTAATGATATCATAGGAGGTTGAAGGTGAGGTGAGGAGATTTGCTCAGGGCCTTACCTTCCTCTTCCCCCTCTCAAAGATGGCCCTGACAAGGGAAATGGGAGTGGTCCACAACTCATTCCAAAAGTAGGCTGACTTCTTACAGATGTGGGATGCTGTCACAGCAGTAGATATACTGTTGGAGATAGGGAAGTTGGGAATGGAATTACTCAAAAGAAGAAATTACCCTGGGGGACTGGGTAAGGCAGCTTATGTGACAACATGAGGAAAGGTGGAGATTTCTATATTTATCTTCTAGAATGAGTGATCCAGTGGACAGAGGTGGACATGAAGGTAGCCAATATCTTCAGTAGGAGCTTTGCCCACCCAGCTCCTATCTAGAGTTTGGAGGTTCATTCTAATCAGTGGAGCTAGGGCTAAAGGTGGTACCTGGAGCCTCCTTCGGTAGAGTCTAGGGCAATGCCCCCTTGTGGTCTGAATCCCTGCTGTCTCAATGCTTTCTCCTCATTGTGCTGGTTGCAGGCATACGTGTATCTGAATGAGGGAGAGAGGTTGCTGAAAACTCTCAGGAAGGAAAAATCTTGGAGTCAGACTTTTGAGTCTGCCACCTTTTTTAGCCTCAAAGGTCAGGTAAGAAACCATTAAAGACATTAATTAATCTATTATTCGCCGTTATGGGCTTCACATAGACGTAAAAGTCATTCCTAAACTTTCAACACCCTCCTCCCATCCCCTGCCACAGATTTCTTTTCAAGACTCCAGAACCTCAAGCCCTGGGACTCAAATCTCCTTACTTGTCAGCAACAAGATCTTCCCCTTCCTCCTAGTTGACATTTTTATGGAATATTTTTTTAACAACTTTTAAAGATGGACATGAATATATAAACATTTTCTCAGTGGTAGATGATATGTAACTAAGACTTATCATCAACCATCCATCCATGCATACATTCGATAAACATTTACTCTCCACAGACACATCCAAACTCCCTGAGGGAATGAATTGCTGGGCTGAGGGCTGTGGGGACCATGGTCTCGGAGAACATCTAGCGCAATTGGCATAACATAGTTTATAAAGAAAATGTTCTACGTTCTACTTTCGTGAGTAGCATCTGGGGTCTTAAAAGCCTGTGAGCAGCCATCTAAGATACTCCACTGGTCCCACCCCATCTGGAGCAAGGGAGAATGAAGAAAACCAAAGATACAAGGGAAAGATTAGTCCAAAGGACTAGTAGACCACAACTACCTCAGCCTCCACCAGACGGAGGCCAGCACGAGATGGTGCCCAGCTACCACCAACAACTGCTCTGACAGGGATCACAACAGAGGGTCCCAGCCAGAGCTGGAAAAAAATGTAGAACAAAATTCTAACTCACAAAAAAAAAAAAAAAAAGACCAGACTCACTGGTCTGACAGAGACTGGAGAAACCTGGAGAGTATGGCCCTTGGACACACTTTTAGCTTAGTACTGAAGTCACTCCCGAGGTTCACACTTCGGCTATGATTAGACAGGCCCATAAAACAAAACGAGACTAAATGGGCACACCAATCCAGGGACAAGCACGAGAAGGCAGGAAGGGACAGGAAAGCTGGTAATAGGGAACTCAAGGTCAAGAAGGGGAGAGTGTTAACATGTTGTGGGTTTGGCAACCAATGTCACAAAACAATACGTGTACTAATTGTTTAATGAGAAGCTAGTTTGTTCTGTAAACTTGCATCTAAAGTACAATTTAAAAAATAAATCTAATAAACGCCTTCTATGTACAAATAAGTAAATAAATAAATAAATAAACGTTTACTATTGTGCCTGAGTAGAACTGCCCCATAGGGTTTCCAAGGCTGTAATCTTTACAGGGGAATCAGCAAAAAAGAGGAAGCTCCTCAATGAGATGGACTGACACAGTGGCTGCAACAGTGGGCTCAAACATAGCAACGATTGTAAGAATGGCACAGGACCGGGCAGTGTTTCTTTCTGTTGTACACATGGCTGCTATGAGTCAGAACTGACCTGATGGCACCTAACAACAACATAACAATTTTTATGGAAGCAGACTGCCATATCTTTTGCCCATGGAGCAGCTGGTGGGTTTGAACTGCTGACCTTTCTGTTAGCAGCTGAGCTGTTAGCCACTGTGCCATCAGGTCTCCTATGCCAGGCATAGGGGATACAAAGATTCAAGCAGAAAAGACATGCCCTCAAGGAGTTTCTGGTTAAGTGAAGGGTGACCAGGGTGATTAATATACAGTCCCTGACCTCGAGGCATTCACATGTTGCTGGAGGAAACAGACTAGAAAGCAAATAATAAATCACTGTGCTAAATGTAATTGTAGTAGAGATACATACAAATTATCATAACAGCAAAATCACCTGCTTGAGGTGAAGGTATGGGTGAGTGGCAGAGAGGTTGTTAGGAAGTCTTCATGGAGGAGCTGACATTCAGCTGGAAGTTGAAGAATGAGTAGCTATTTTCCAGACAGAGAAAGGCAAAGGGCATTCCTTGCAGAGGCAGTAGCATGGACAAAGGCGGGTTTGTTTAGACAAGGAGTCATCGTGTACGGATAAGAGGGGAGCATTCTGGTGGCAAATGTCAAAAGAGCCATTTGCGAGCACTGAGGGGTGTGGATTAACCCTGTACACAGGGAGTTCTCATGGGCTTTTTTTTTTTTTGTAATTTTTAATACATTTGATTTTTTAGAGAAGTTATAGTTTTACAGAAAAATTGCACAGAAAGCACAGAGAGTTCCCATATACCCCCTTATCCTCCTGCACATACTTTCTCCTATTATTAACATCTTACATTAGTGTGGTGATTTTCTTACAATTAATAAACAAATATATATTATTATTAACTGAAGTTCATAGTTTACATTAGGGTTCACTATGTATTGTACAGTCCTACGGGTTTTGACAAATGTGTAATGTCATGTGTCCACCACTGCATATCGTGCGGAATGGTTTCATTGCCCTTAAAATATCCTGTGCTTCACCTATTTACCTTTGTCTCTGGAAACCACTGATCTTTTTATTTTTTTTTCCTTTTTTTAAAATTTATTCATTGATTTATTGTGCTTTAAATTAAAGTTTACAGTTCAAGTTAGTGTCTCATAAAAAAAATTATACACACACTGTTATGTGACCCTAGTTGCTCTCCCCATACTGTGACAGCACACTCCTTTCCACCCTGGATTTCCCATGTCCATTCAACCAGCTCCTCTCCCTTTCTGCCTTCTCATCTTGCCTCCAGACAGGAGCTATCCATTTAGACTCACGTATCTACTTGAGGTAAGAAGCACACTCTTCACGAGTACCATTTTATGTCTCATAGTCCAGTCCAATCCTTGTCTGAAGAGTTGGCGTTGGAAATTGTTTTAGTTCTGGGCTTATAGAGATTCCAGGGGCCATGCTTTCTGGGGTTCCTCCAATTTCAGTCAGACCATTAAGTCTGGTCTTCTTACTAGAATTTGAGTTCTGCACTCCACTTTTCTCCTACTCCGTCAGGGACTCTCGGTTGTGTTCCCTGTCAGGGCCATCACTGGTGGTAGCTGGGCACCATCTAGTTCTGGTCAGGCTGTTGGAGTCTCTGGTTTATGTGGCCCTTTTGTCTCTTGGGCTAATATTTTCCTTGTGTCTTTGGTGTTCTTCATTCTCCTTCGCTCTAGGGGGGTTGGGACCAATTGCTGCATCTTATATGGCTGATTGCTAGCTTTTAAGACCTCAGATGCCACTCACCAAAGTGAGATGCAGAACATTTTCTTAATAAGCTTTGTTATGCCAATTGACCTAGATGTCCCCTGAAACCACGGTCCCCAGATCCCCGCCCCTGCTACTCTGTCCCTCAAAGTGTTTGGTTGTGTTCAGGAAACTTCTTAGCTTTTGGTTTAATCCAGTTGTGCTGACTTCCCCTGTAGTGTGTGTTGGTCTTTCCCTTCACTTAAGATAATTCTTGTCTACTATCTAGTTAGAGAATACTCCTCTCCCGCCCTCCCCACCCTTGTAACTATCAAAGAATGTGTTTAAACCTTTTCTTGAATTCTTATAATAGTGGTCTTATACAATATTTGTCCTTTTGTGACTGACTGATTTCACTCAGCATGCTTTCCAGATTCATCCATGTTGTGAGATGTTTCACAGATTGGTTATCTTTATCGCTGCTTAATATTTCATTGTGTGAAAATACCATAATTTGTTTATCCATTCATCCCTTGACAGGCACCTGGGTTGTTCCCAACTTTTTGCTATTGTGAACAGTGCTGCAATGAACATGGGTGTGCATATATCTATTCGTGTGATGGCTCTTATTTCTGTAGGATATATTCCAAGGAGTGGGATTGCTGGAACATATGGTACTTCTATTTCCAGCTTCTTAAGGAAGGGCCAAATTGATTTCCAAAGTGCTTGTACCATTTTACATTCCCA